AATATACACACCGCCGAACGAGATACGACGTGGAGTGATAACGGACTGCACACTCGATTCTAAAGCTGGCCATCTGACTGCGAGTGCAGTCACGGTCGTCTCGCTAACACCCCTGCGTCGTGAAACTTGTCAAATACACCACGTACCGATATCGGCTCTATACGAGTTTCCACTGAATATCAATAACATCATCGCCAACCCGAAATAAACGAGCATTTCGATTATTTTATCCTTAAGGATAACGTTCGCTGACTTCGACTACGCGGTTTCTCCGCATCGCAGAACACCCTGTATATGCGTAACAAACTTAGGGTCTTAAACCGGTCTAGATGAGTCACTCAACATCTTCTTGCCTACTACACCGTACTTTTTACCCCCACTCTGTGCTCGGATCAATCTAACTCGAAAGGGACACTTACACTCGAGCAGTTTCTCACAGTTTAAACTTTCCACGATCGATTTGCTCGCGTAACAATGTAGTTACACAGATCAATACTCTTTCTTTAACTCTGTTACAAGGTCGGACATCTTTGTTTCAATCGTAACTCCCACTGCGAAGATCTGCATAAATCGATATTGGAAGATTCTATGTGCCATGAGTACATACAATTACCTTGAAAATAAGTTGTTCATCTTAATAGTATATTAGTTTTTATACCCAATTTCCGAATTAATCCTTCGGCGAGGAATGTCGACGTTTCGATCAAGCTTTCATATTTGGAATACTAAGTAGCGAACGAATGATTTACCGAGAACAGCGAAAGGTCAATGCATAGTTTCTTTCTACAATTTCTCGGCACCCGATATACAATTTGGCTTCATTCACTGAACTCAAACCGTTCCGTATACTCTAAAGAATATTCGTGAAGGGTTGAAACAGCACGAGGAATGATTCATGTGCAATTCCGCTAAGCGAGCGTCGCTATGGTCGTCGCAGGGACATTGTGTTATCACCGTTTCTCAGATTGCATCCAGATACATTTACCTAAGTAAACATCCCATCTTCTCCCGCCACCGCGCTGTTATACCTGGAACTCAGCGCAGACCTAGCGATCCCGAACAAAGATCCGAAGAACTCCTTAATTCCGAGTCCAGCGGATCGTAGTGCCCTCCGCCCCTTCGCGTAGCGGATCACGGCGTCCGTCCGTGCCGCATTCGGCGGTTCGTTTGCATTGCAAACGAACGTCCGTGTCCGTTAGCCCGTCGCGGAAGGGCACGTTTGCACGTACTTTTCGAAGTGAACGGGCCGGCCGTCCAGGTATTGATTATCGCGGAATCTCTTTAAGTGCCGAGAGCCTCGAAATGCTCGAGCACGTAATTGCCAATTGGATCTTCGTGCGACGGACAGGCGTAGCAACACGTTTCTATCCGCGTTCAAATCTCGTGATCTCTTATTCTTTCAGTATTTATCATTTTCAGCATTTACACTCGACCTTTTCATTCTTCGGTTTGAATCCGTGGAAGTTTCTTCGTGATTTCTAACGTTTCTTCTTTTATTACCTCGGTGAATTACATTTAATCTCCTGATTCGCTAGTTTCAAGCGGTCCCCTCATAATTTCTTTCCCTTATCAGGATATTCATTCAATCTAGTTCGCTAGCTTCAACCCCTCAAAGTCTCACGGGTTCTGACACTTTGGTCTCTTATCGCTTCTGTTACAACTAAGTTTAATCCTCTAATTCGCTAATCTCAACCCTTCAAAGTCTCCTCACGATTTCTGTTCTCTCTTATCACTTATATCCGGACAATCTAAGTTTAATCTAATCCGCTAGTGTGACCCCTCAGAGTGTCCTCTCCGTTTTCAATCTTTCATTCCTTTATTATTCAGATTTCAATTATTTATACAATCCTCCGCGCTCTCGGGTTTCGATTCCAAAGTTTCCCCGGATCGTGCATGATTCACGAGTCCTGTCCCCCGCGCTCTAAGGTTACGCCAGTGCACCGAGACGGTAAACACGTCCCTGCACGCGGTACGTTTTTCGTTCGCGCGCGGCCGTGCACCGGTACGAGCGATCGCGAAACTTTCATCGGTTGCCGGGACCCTGTTCTAGGTGGCAGCAGGAAACGGAAGGCGTCTCCTGCGGGAAAATCCCGCTGGACCCGGGCGGAAGGGGTGCTCGCCTCGGCGGACACGCACGCGACACCGGGAATAATAATTTCCCGTCACCTTTGTCCGGTGTGTTCGGGGTACCTCCCACGCGTTATCGGCTGATTCACGATCGTGAATCACAAAACTCCGTGTTTACATCACGTGAACCTTATCTGTCGCGCGCGCGAAATTTATTGTCCGCGCGCGAATCAGTCGCCTCGCAGAAGCTGCGCGTGTTTACGTTCGAGGTGTGCCATTGGCTCGCGAACTCTGTCAATGTCCCGCGAAGATAAATGAAAGGAAAGCGTTATGGAACGGGGAACTGATGAACTCTTTTAAAACTCCAACGAATACGGGTATACCGTTGTGTTTCGTGTGTTGCTCGCTGCAGTCGTGCGTATGGGACATTGAATGATTACCGTAGATCGAATTTTTCTTACGATTTTCATGGATTCTTCATTGAATTATAGCTCAGTCTGGATTTCGGATGTAGATTCGCAGAGGAACTCGTCAGACACTCTGTATCGCCGGAAATTTAACTGTTCCGAGAGTGTTTCGGTAATTCGAAACGCGTCAGCTTCGAGCGGGAAGAGAATTCACCGAGATAAAACTTTTAGCCGGCGTTGTACGTTTATTTCGCAGTATAATGTTCGGCGTATTTCGTTTCGAATTACATTCCTCTCCTCCGCTCCTCTACGCTTCAATTAGATACGGTGATCTTTAGCGCCCGCAAAGCCATCGAGTATCGGGTTTCGTTCATTCAGCTTCTTCCTCGTGTCTTTACAACTCTAGGCTTATGGCATGCGTTACACGCTCCATTGACTCTGAAATCAGTGTCTCTTATTGACTGTTGTTTCTCTTTCCTCGAACGAAGACTGTCCAGCAAAACAATATGCAAAATTCCATGGATACCGCGACAAGCGTTAAGTGCACAACGATAAGGAGAACGAGCTATCCGGGTCGCTATATAAATTATTATAAATTATACATAACGGCGTAATCATTCCTGTCAAGCTTCTATTCAACGATAACATCTAAAGCACCTTAAATCTCTCTCGATGGCGACATAATTATTCTCGTCGTATTACGCCATAGTTCATCAAATTAAATATTACTCCTTTTATTCATTTCCCTCTGTTACAGTTTTAGAGAAAGATATATTACTATTATGAATATTATCGTCGTACATTACGGTCTAAATAGAGTCCATAGCGTCCTTAATAACCGAGAAACGAGGAGGAGAAGGCGACACTAAAGGCTTTATCGTAGATTCGAATGCACAAGCACGGTATGCGCGCTTCCGGCTGTTAAAAATTCATCGGGCTACCTACGGGAGGTAATAACTGTACCGATGGATCGTAAAAAACAACTCCATCCAGCGGCTGATATCCGGCAAGCTCTTTCATTGGGCACCCTGCACCGTGATTTCTCTGCTGGACAATACTTCTCGCGGAGGTGTCGTTAACAATAGGCAGAATCGAAGGTGAACCGGCACTTCGAACAGTTTCCTCGAGTAAATCAGTTTATACGATGGATCGGTAATGAGGCACTAAGTACTCCTGGGTAGCAACCTACTCTCGCGGTCTGGGAATACCATCTCACGTTCCTAGGGATATTTGTATGCCAGTCATTATCCAAGTCTCTTGCACATTTTAGTTGTGATGCAGATACATTTCAGGTTAAGGGATACCATCGTCGCTTTAACATATGAAGAGTAATGTAAATGCACATGGTGGAATGCGTTACGGTGCAAAGAAACGATCTCTATGAAGTATGCAGAACTTTTGATAAATAGATACTATGCTTTCACAAGAAATCCTGGACCATGTGTATTCCAGCGACTGTCATCCTTAGCTCCATTGTGCTACGATCAGCTTATTATGAAAAATAAGGGTTCAAGCTTCTGTGGATTTCTCTCCCAAGAAGCTGCTGTGCACAACCAACTCTCCCATCGTTCAAATGCAACAATTGCAACGGCAAACGAATAGCAGGGATCTACACTCGTAGACACGGCCGTAGAAGTTCGAGCGAGATTCCGCGCGTATCGCTGGAATCCCAGTCCTTGAAGTCGACCATTGTCGCGCGGCATCCCCTTTGTTACGGCGAACAATGCGACGTATGCACGTCGTTAATATCTGCAGCCATTCGATTCTCGGATACGCGACAGGTTCGCGTGTCGCTCTCTAGACCCGCAGCTGGTCGACGACTCCGCGTTTCATCGGTGTCGATGAGATTGCGGGAAGCTCTTCGAGGGAAACGAATAATAAATAACCAACAACGAAATGCTCCTTCTGAGGAGCTTGCCCGCGGACTTATAAACAAGCTTGCCCATGGTCCGCGGGAAAAGGGATTCGAAAACGTCCAAATGTCCCAGAAACCTACTGTTTTCATATTGACTACAACATTATTTCACCCTGTGCACTCGAGAGGCGACTTCCAGTCAGATGATTTGATACAGCAAAATTATAAACTTTGGTGTTTACCATTCACCTTTGTATACAGCATCGACACGTGAAACATTGGAAGAAAATAACTTTGGTACCTAATTTATGTATGATTTCTTGTTACATTCATTTCAAAGAATGTTGTCCACATCTAGTCAGAAAGTATAGAATACTTCAAGTGAAAAACTGTCGAGTGCAAACGGTTCGATCCCACAGACTTTCGATGGCGATTCAACGACCGACTGGTCAGACTCCGGAATCCTTAACCGTATCAAGTTTGAGAGCGTCGTACAATAAACGCGCAAAACCCGCAGTGCAATTGTCAAGTGCCCCGCGTCTCGCGTCCCTAGTTGGCAGTTTGGAATTTAAAGGGCCGCGGAGGAGCCAGGACTCGTTCAGCCAGTGCGGACCGTGCAGTGCGGTGCAAAGGCGTCGCGGTGAACAGAGAGACGCCTCTCGGCGTTCCGTCGCGCTCGTGGTGCAGTGGATTCCCCTTTTTTTTCCTTCTCTCTCTCTCTCTCTCTTTCTCTCTCCTTCTGTCTCCCGCCCTCCCTCTTCGCGCTCGCATCCCGGCCATTACGCCCCGAGAGTCATCTTCTCTCGCTCGCTCCTTCGGCTCTTCCTCTCTCGGCGTTTTATCAAAACAGCTGATCGTCGCCCCTTTAATTGCATCGCGACTTCGCCTGATCGTCGTCGTCGTCGTCGTCGCCGCTGCAGCGGCGAAGCTTCCGTCGTCGGTTCCTTCCCGGCAGCCCTGGTAAATTCTGCGGGGCGGTAAACTGCGGGCGAAGTTCGACGGCCGTGCCGCCGTTGGAGCCTGCCAGCGAACACGGCCGAGCGTGTCCCGTCGCTCCGGTGCACGGTAAGTGTTGGCTACTCGAAGCATCTTTTTGTAGGTTAGGAAGCGCCTTTCGCCTTTAAAGCTCCGTGCACAACGCCGCTTCCCGGCTAGGTCGTGCCGTCCGTACGTTTCGCGTTCTTGGACGGACAGCATCGATCATTCGGTTCCGGTGTCCGCGACCTCTTCGACGTCGCCCGGGTCGACCGGGGCCCCGGCGTCATTGGAAATCCGATTTCGCCCACTCCCGGCGCATCAGCCGAGCTTCCGCTCGGTTCGGATTAACGAGACGAGATGCCAGTCGCGAGTTCGCGACGTCGTTTCCTTTGCCATTGAATTCTGCGAGGAGCAATTTGCTCGGAGACTGGGGCGATACTTGTGGCGAGGTAGACAGGGTCGTTTATAGAGGAGTACGTTGGTTCTGATCGTCGTCGATCATCTTCGGTTTTATTCATGCGTGCAGGGCTGTGCCTGTGTACGCTCATGGTCGATAAAATCTGTCGGTTAACAGGTTAATTGGATGCGCTCGGGTTGCTGTGGGCGGAATTCATTGAATCAACAGAAATATGACATCGGGCGCGCGATGGTGATCCCGGGAAGCTGCTATGCGAGACACTGCTCTGCCTGGGTCGTTTGCATATCGGATTTAATGTTCGTTTGCTACTGGAGCCTCGCGAACCTCGTTTATGCGTTGGCTAACTAGAAGCTGGATTCAAGTGCATTTACATTCGGTCGAGTCTCGTTTTCTGGGACGTTGGCGTCTCTTGTATGGATCTGGAACGTCGGGACGTTTGAATCGCGCGCCAATTTTCGACGACGCGCTGCCATGACGGTGGTTTCTGATGGAAAGCTGTGTGCTTCGTTTGAATGATAAATTAGTTGGATTAAGTATTCGTTGGGTATTAACTGTTTGGATACACCTGTATTGAAACAGTTAACGATTACCTTTGAATGTAGTTATATTTTGTCTTGTGTCTTCAAATGGAAGAGATCACTGATACTAGTGAAAGTATCGTGAACGTGTTTTTGTCTCTTGTCTCTCTGTTTGTATATGTATGAAATAGTGTATAGATGTTGGGGCGAATTTAAATCGCGCGCCAGTCTGTAGCGACGCGCCGCCATGACAGTGCAGCTGGTGAATAATCGGATCGGACGGGGGAAAACCGGAGACGTGCATCCACCATAACGGCTTGGAGTTCTGTGACGTCTTCAATGGCCGCCGCCGTACTGTCTACACACGTAACGGAGCGCGGTAGACTCGCAAACCGCGTTCCGTGGTGTTACACGACGTAGTGTTTACTGTTCGCCGGGTAGAATATTCCATCAGTCTGTGGCCTGAAGTGCAAACCATGGGCTCGAAGAAGCATAAAAAGCACAAGCGCGAGAGGCACGAAGGTGAGGGGACCGGGCTTGATTTCGGCGCATCTCGATCGTCTTCTTCTCGTATCTTGTCCGATATTGAAAGTTCCTTAACGTCGTCCGAATACCGTTGGTCGCGTTATCATATGACTACCGTATAAATAATCGTTTCACACTGTGTGCCGCTCATAGTGGCCGCACATGAGTTCGAACGCGCCTCGAATTTAAACGGCGCCTTCTAACAGTCGTCTTGACACGATATATCCTTTCCAAATTTGTCGATGGAATACTCGCGATGATAATCCGCTACCATGTTTTCCAATATCGTTGAATTGTTCATATACAGATATATATGTACATATGTATATGTATGTGTATATATATATACATATATGTATGTTTATGATGTTGCATACCTGGCCGCGTAACGCGTCATGTTAACGGGCTTTATCTTGAATACTCTGCCCCCAGTTAATTAATCATTATTGCTGATGAAGTATCTCAATTGTTGTTAACATATTGCACTGATCGTAATATCACAACTGTTATCGTCTTTTGTCAACGCTTGCGTTGACTGCACGAGGATTCGAATGAAAAGAATAACTTGTGGGAGACAACAGTAATTAATTCCAATAGAGGGTTTGAACCCTGAACGTAGGAGTGAAATGCGATTGATACTTTTAAGATTTTCATTGGAATCCTTTTTATACTCATAGTTTAATGATGCACAGGAATTTTGACTGCGTTTTCACCACGGACAAACTGAGAGTGAGGTTGGAGTAGAAGTGAGGTGGATTCAAAAGTATAAACGAAGGTTCCACAGCGACAGGTGCGACGTGGAAGTAAGTGACGTGTAACAACGGACATGGACTGGTTGCACGACAGAAACTAGCTGTGCTTCCGAAAATTTACTCGAATACCCCAACCCCTTTCAATATTTTTTTTTGTCTGTTAAGATTTGTTGAAGTGCAACAAGATCTATGTCACTTGGAGTACATTGGAATATTTATCAAACAGATCTGTATATTCTTTGATCTAGTGATATGTCTGTTGCACTTCAATCATTTAGTTCCCTGGCTGTTATATATTATGGCATCAGTGGCCATCCGTGCTTTTGCTTTACCTCTTTTCGAGGTATTTTCGATTTAAACAATCGCTCCTTCCTGATCATTCCTGCAATACAATACAACATAATTCTAAACAAGAATTATTTTACTGCATACTTCTATCAAGGTTTATTTAGTTTGAATCAAGCTACTTCCATCTCGCTTCCAGTTTGTTGAATGTGAAAACAAGGTCACTATCCTGTTATAAAATCATCTTTATTATTGTTATTATTATTATTATTATTGTTGTTGTTATTATTATTATTATTGTCAATATTTCTTTCTACCCTTCTGTTAATATCCTGTAGATTTTATTGATTTAAGACTACACTTCTTCTCATCATCCTGCAAGATTATACGATGCAACATCTAGCACTGTATTTACATTACAACAATATTCTGCACCTTTGTATGATTTTCTGCAAGACACTTATATTGCATGCGTTAGATTTGCAATCGACATTATTTATAGCTTAATGCTTTAGTTTTTTTTTTATATACACGTTTTATAATAACAGTATCAATTCTAATAGCCTGTAATTAACTTTCTGTCTCTTTTTCTCTCTTTAACAGAAGGGCACTATTCAACCACGGACAAGCCTCGTACTTTAAAACTTATTCTAAAAGTAGGAGGTAGCAGTGGCACACCTGAATACGGCAACGAGCCTAGCCAGGCAACAATGTTGTCTCAACATTTGGGTGTCTACCCACAGCAGTTGGGTCTCAACTGTTCTGTAACACAGGAATCTGAATATGATAGGTACTTAGGGCATAAAAAGCTTAAAAAGAAAAAGAAAAAGAAGGATAAGAGACACAAACATCATCACAAGGACAAAAAGAGGAGGAGAGAAGAATCCAGTCAAGAGTCAGTTGGTGATGCGGATGAAGGTTTGGCGGAAGTCCCAAAAAAGATTCCTAATCATCAGTTACTCATCCCAAGGCATCCTTCTACCGGAGAGCATAGAGTTGGTGTTACCAATCAAATCAGCTCTCTTTCACCACACAGAGAACCGAGAACATGTGTACTTAGGAAAATTGCGGAACGTACGCCACTTCAACGATTATTAGAACACCTTCTTAGGTCAATGGAAAAACGTGACCCGCAACAATTCTTTGCTTGGCCAGTTACGGACAGCATTGCGCCTGGATACTCTCAGATAATTACTAATCCTATGGACTTCAGTACCATCAAACAAAAGATTGATGATAACAGTTATCAAAATTTAAATGAATTTATAGATGACTTTAAATTAATGTGTGACAATGCAACCACGTATAATCAACCGGACACAATATATTTCAAAGCAGCAAAAAAATTATTGCACGTTGGTCTGAAGATGGTTACACCTGAGAAACTCAGACAGTTAAGACCTGTTTTGACCTATATGCAAGATATTTCGAAGGAAGAGCTTGGATTTGAATTAGGAACGGAGGACCCAAATAATCCGGACGTACCGATTACGGAGGAGCAGATCGAACGTGAACGAGAACAGGAGGAACGTAACGAAGAAGCGGAAGAGCTCAGAAAAGAGAATCAGAGGAAGATGAGATTAGCAAATTTAGGTAAATTTGAAGCCATCCCCGATGATTTGACTCCAGATGAAATCTTAAAGCAAGCACGTAGCGCCGCAAAAGCGGCGTCGGAGAAGTTATCGTTGAAAAGGCTGAACTCGAAAATGGGCTTCCTCAGGCAGAAGAAAGACGGAACTACTAGCTTGCAAATAATAGTACCAGGTGACGGTGTGATTCCTGGAACTAATCAAAGACCTGTGTCGTTGGGTCAGCTCATTGGTAAACTAAATCATGGTACAGGCGCATTAGCAGGATTTCGCGAAGACAGGAGAAACATGTCTAAGCCAGTGAAACCTTTATACTATGGTGCCTTCGGCTCTTACGCGCCAAGTTATGACTCTACTTTTGCTAACTTGACAAAAGAAGAAACAGACCTAGTGTACCAGACCTACGGGGATGAAACTGCTGTACAGTACGCAGAATCCATTTTAGACTTCGCTAAAGACTGTGATTATACATTAACTATGGTCGATGATCTGTTGGACATCTTGACGGGTGGAGATCACAGAAAGACCAAGAAGTTCCTCGAGGAGAAACGTCGGCTCAGAGAAGAAGAGGAGAAGATAAAGCATTTGCTCGAAAAGCCTATGCAAGATGTGAATCGTAATATTTCAGCCCTGGACAACGTTAAGGTCGATATCGATCAACTGAAAACCCTCTCAGAACTAGGAATTGACGTGAACTTCTTGGAGAACCTAGGTAATTATAGTTAAAATACTATGCCAGAATTTCTAATCGAATCGCGGTAATATATCAAACGTCGTTTCTGTTTACAGAGGACGAAGTGAAGCTAAGCAAAGAGCGCGCAGCCCTACAGAGTCGTTTGGATGACACGTCTCAGATGATAGGCCGCCTGAAGCAGGCGCAACATGATCGCCTATCAGCACCGCCACCTGCTCACCTATCGAATGTTCCTAAACCGTCAGAAAACGAAGTTGCATTAGCTGATAAGATTACGGACAATCTTACAGAAATAGCGAAGAAACTACCGCCATCGGCTATCGCTCCCGTTGATGGTCTACGAAGAGCGATGGGGATAGCACCCCTAGGTGGTGGTCCAGAACCAATGGAAGTCGAGCCAATCACACACAACCCGACGATAGTCGCGGAGAACAATCTGTTGTCGCAACCGAATAGTAACCTTTTGTCCGCGCCGTCACCGATTCAAAGCGCAACCTTACTCAGCCCGACAAGCCAACAAACACAATCAATTAGTATTGTCAATACCAATCAGCCTCCGATCCAAATACAGATCGGAATGACGCACAGCCAGACACCTCCGTCTCTACTGAGCACAACGGAAACGTCTGCGGTTCCTGATCTAGAGACCGAGCTCCGTGAATTCCTAGAGAGTGATCCTACGTTAGGGCATTCACCTTTACACGACGACAAAACACTCGAAGACATTTTGTCCGAGTCCTAGTGTGTATACTCCGTGATTTAATGATTTTTTTTTTATCGATACAGTGATTTAAAAGAGTATTCGCGCGTTGATTTTATGTGAAGGAACAGCATACGGATGCGACCTAAATTTTTTTAGTATTTTATTATACGCAGGAATGATATGCTCGTGCAGAAACATTTGTAAGTCAGCATATTTTTGTGAAAAATAGAATACTTAGGAATTTACATTGTATCGTTATGCAACTTTTTTATGTAATATCGTGACAATGATATTGAATGTGGGAATACTTGTTTCATTCACTGTATGTCTCTTACGACAGGTTGTACATTTCATTACGTATAAACGATAGGTTTAATTGCCGAGCGTACATATAATAAATAAGATTGCGTCCTGTATCCTGTTGTTAGAAGAAGCCGTGTTTGTTTTGTATGAGCATTATTTATGAAGATCGCGCAACGAATGCATTATATGAAGCCTGTAAAGTTTACATGAAATACACTTGTAACACTGAACGGTGTTTAATTCGGGTGAGAAACGAGTTTCAGTGAGAAGTGTGCTAGAACAATACTATAGGGAAATAATCCTTTGATTCTGTTCAGTATGAAATTTAAATATACTTTTGTGCCCTCTCTTCTCATAAGTATTCATGGAGGAAATATTTCATGAGTAAACGTAAATCATTCAGAGAAGTTATGGGAATGATGTGCATAAAACCAAATTGATCTGTTTGTTCAGAAAACATTGGCGCGTACTTGCTTGCTACTTCAAGCGTGTAACATTAAAAGGAACTGTAAATATACATAAAATGTATTTTTTAAATTAAATTTCTTCGATTGTCTGAATCGTGAAAGGAATATTTAATCCACAAAACTACTGATCCTTCGCCTTTACGTATAGTAAGATATTAATCACAATTTACATACCCGATGAAACCTCGCACGGCGTCCTTCTCTCCAGTCATGATGACACTGACGATTTATTACTCTCTTGCAGTCACACAATCCTGAAACAGTGAATTGATCATTATAATGTATGCAAAAACAGATTCTTAATTTATTATTAAGTATTCGCGATGATAACATTCTTTTATTACTTTAATTAAGAAAAATAAAAAGATTCTTTACAAGAATATTGTCGGGAATGCTTTCTTACAGTAAAAAAGTCAAACTGTACAAGTATATTCTAGAAACACGTTCAAACTTGCTTGACAACCTCTGATTGGTTGATTCGTTGCAACCGTTATAACGGTATGAAGGGAACGGTTGCGTAATGGCGCGATGCGATATTCTCGTTTAAAATGGTAACGGTTATAGTTTACATTACGCGTAGAATAAACATTCTCATGCAACAGCTGATAATATTATTGTTTAGCAATCGTATTCTCTACAGCTCTGACTGTATTTTAAATGGAAAAAATGAAAAGTCAGGAAAGAAGGTACGGCTTCAGTACCGAACATAGAGCCTATGTTGATCGGTATCGCGGACGCGAACATTAATCGAATTTAAAGTAAAAAGACTCGTTCAAATTGATTGCTAATATCACAAAACTTACCACGTAGGTTAAACTTGCAAATGAGGCACTTTTTATAATAAATCACTCGAATATTCTAAATTAATTTCAAATTTACTGAAGGAGAAGCACGCGAGCTGTTGCAAACCAAAGATCCACACTAGTACTATCCTATACCGTATGGTGGCGCTAGTGTTCCTATTTCGTAGCGGATTCAAATGAAAACTTCAATTTAATTCTACAATTTTCCTTTATTATTATAATTTTGATTGCGCAAATATCACCTCGCGAATAAAAAAATGTCAGCATTAATTTTCCACAATTTTTAAAATGTCTAGTCTTCGAGTAAATTTCAAACACAAAAAAATCCAATTAATTGAACGACATTAGAAATCTGCACGATTCAAAAATTGACGCGCAAAGTTTTGTAACGATACCGCCCTGAACTTTAACCAATTTGCAATATGGCAGGCAACTCTTGGAAGGCGGGAAGGCCGCAGAAGATCGTCCCGGTTAATTAGAAGAGTTCCTCCGTTTGATTGTGTGTTCTGTGAAACAAGAAGGTATTTTAATAGTCCAATTAAAGTTTTTTAATACAATTACGTTACGGTGGTGCGAATTCCACTTGAAAGTAGGTCGAAGAATTCTCACAATGAGAATATCCAACGGCGGGAACAATAATACCGCATTCAGGTCATCTCGACAGTATTCAAGGTAACGTTAACAACATTATTTCACAAAGAGAACACATCGATATTGTCTTCTTTAAATAATGCATCGTACCTGTCCAAAGCCGGACAAAAAAAAAATGATACAATCAATATAGGTAAACAATATACAGCTCGAGCAAAACAGAACCTGATAAAATTTGTATTCCAAGCGGACTACGATGAGTGGATTTATTACTCGAATAAAAACTGTCGCTTAAAGGGAATAAAGCAGTCGTCGTTCGTTATTCGTCAGCCAGCCAGGACAGTCCTGTTTAACAAGATAAAGCACACGTTTTAACGTTTATGCTCGAGTTCCATTTATCATCTATTATTCGAACAAAATGGCGGCGGTCCTCGACAATGCAGATCGGGTAACAAATGATAGATAAAAGATTGTCACGGAGAACGGATGATGAATGTTCCTCGATGAAGTCGTTTCCGTGGACGATCAGGAAATGATTCCGAGCTATCTAAAATTGCCAGCGCAACATGGCTCGCGATGTATTATGCTGTTGGAGGTCTGTTTGTTTATACGCCTAGCGAGGCGGATGTTCGCGGGGGTTGCGCATAGGAATTGAACGCGACTGCAGGGTCTCGCCGATAATAGGATTAAGGGGCGGTAAAGCGTCGACTAATTTCGAAATTTCGCGGGCCTCGAATGCGCCCCGGATAAGTGTAATTCATTGTAATTGCATCATTATAACTAAATAGACAAGTTCGAGCGGGCCACAACGGAAAACTCGATTACAGGGTCGGCCGTTTATGGCGGCTCGAATCTACCCGCCATTAGCATGCCCCGCTAACTATTCCATTAGCATCCCCCGCCGACCGCGGTAGGAAATTAAAAAATGCCCGTGATTATCGCGAAGCCCGCAACAGACCTGTTAAACAGCCATTACGCGCGGACAATTTCCATTCTTTCCACCCTTGTTTCTCCGCTCGCCGGATGCTCGGTCCCTCCCGGAAGCACCTGTCGTCCATTCTCTGCGCGATGGAAGATTGAAGGGAAGGGCAAGAGACAAAGCAGTTCATTCTTCTTAATCATCATATTCATTATGGACTCGCTTACGCTAGACCACGTTGCAGTCGCTCGGGGGTTGGAAGGAAATCTCGGGACTAAGAGATTCGTTCCACTGCAAGCTTCCATTTTTCCGGGTGATAAAACCCCAGACCACCCACTTTGGTCCAGAATCTTGCAACATTAACTAAAAACTTGCTCCTCGCTCGGTCGGCGCGCACAGCCGCTTCTTTCTTCCCTCGTTCTCGCGGGAACCTCTCCGTAATCGTCGAAAGAATAATGGACATCGAATTGCTCGTCGATTAAATTCCTCTCCGTCGCGGCGCGAATAAAATATCCCGATAACGATGGTCCCCCGCGTCCTTCCTGGGATGAAATTTAATTCGGCGGCCGGGCAATCTCGCGGAGTAGATCCTCTAGTCGTTCACCGAGATCCTCGGTGGATCGTGGTTTCGATTTCGCTCGTTCCGCCCGTTGTTACGCTGCCCTGTTGTCGCTCCCGTACAAATGACGGCGGGTCTGGACGATAATTATCGCGGAGCGGACGGTCGATGCGCGGCCGAAAATGCTCAGCCGTTTCGCCGACGACGAGAAGGGCCGTCCGCATCCTGACAGGTTAATTAAGCAGCGATTCCGTTCTTTCGGGGGCGCGCGGCCCGCCTGGAAATGGCGTGCGTCCCGCGCTCGCTTTCAAGCGGAACCTCGTTACGGCGAACGCGGGCCGAGTAATTATCATTCTTTGATATCTGCCCGCGATACCGAGTGACGAACGTTCGCGCCATTTCCCCGCTCTACTTTCCGCTTCGATGTTTCCTTATCTCCCCGCGCAGAATAAAACGCTCCGCGGCCTCACGCTGCGAGCGTTTGTGTTGCCGGCTGTGCCATTAGAACGTGAGTTATTCGAATCTGATTGCATTGGATTTGCCGGCGTTTGAATATTTATCGCATGTATATATACATTGCACCGTCTTGGTGGTTCCTCGAAGGGATTCGGAGAATTCGCACGGATTGCGGAAGGTGTTCGTTGACTAGTATTGCAGTCGTGAGGTGGTTCTCAGTTACCACTTGATTCGATATACCAAAATTATAAAGTTCTACGCTTTCTCATTAGTTGAATGCTGAATACTTCTCGTGAAATACTTTCAGGTATAAAGGGTTGAGATACAATATTACGTAGTTAGGGTATGTATTAACGTTTAATTTCAGTGGTCGCTCCGAAGATTCCAGATGATAAGTTTACATCCAGAACATTTGGCCATGACCATCAAGAACTGGCCACGTGAGAATCAAGTTCTCTCATCTCTCGCGTAGAGCCTCTACGATGAGCGTAAAGTTTGATGCGATCGTAACAACTTTATTGTCTTATGATTCCTTTATAATGTCCTGACTTAATCAAACGATGAAGTCGTAGACCGGGGCCGAATGCAAACCAGTCCGCGACGTAAATGCGAGATGGTCCCGTTCGACGCGGCACGGATTCAATTATAGGGAAACGGCCCATAATTCCGCAGTAGTTATGTCCGGACAATATTTCAGGCTCGTCGAATTAGTTCTACCGAGCGGGAACATCTTATAAAGTCCCGTCACCCGGTTCACGTGGTAGTTCTTATGTCCAACTTCACCGGTACTTCGCGTTTCTCCCGGAAGCCGTTGAAAACTTAAGGGGAGCACGGATTTACGGCTGCCCAGTCGCAACGGCGAACGTAACGCGTCCGTTCACCGTGTCCCTGCCCGAAAATTCGGACCGATTCAGAATTCGTCGGTGCATCAAAATAATTACGACTCCATAATTTAATGTTATTATCGTAGCTGGCTCGGGAACTTTCGCCCGAATCCAGATATTCGGAGGTCCGCCCGCGGGAATTGTGTTTCGCGGATTAAATTTAGATCCAAATTAATATCCGGCTGAGGGGAAACAAACTTGCCCGCGATGTATCGATTGCGACACACGCGAACTATTAAATTAATTAACGTCCCACTGTTCCGACAACGAGGAACACAATGGGAGACGTAGGTGTACATTTAGGTCAAAACCCGCGTGCCCTCGTATTCCGAACGATCACAAAAAATTCAGAGGTATCTGAAAGTAACTACGGATATCTGGGTTAGAGCCCTCGTAATCGCGGCAACAGTTTGCGCTGCGATAAAAATGGCGGTGCGCGGACAGTTCCAGCCCTTTGCACTTCAAAGTTTTTCAGTAGAAATACTCGACGTTTCCAGGCGAGGTATAGGCGACATTCTGCGAAATTAACGAGAAAACATACGTAAATTAACGAACGAGGCTATTTTATTTCTATATTTCATATATCGAGGCATTATGCAAACTTTGGTGCACATGATATCAAGATACTACTATAATACATGGTTAACATAAGATATTAGACTATAGTACGTAAGATTAAAATTTTATTATACAAATCAAGTAACTAAGAGTTAGCCGCAAAGGGTTAATAAGTACACAGTCGGTCAGATGTTCAAAGCGGTCATAGCGACACCAAATTATTACGGGATTAGAGAGGATTTCGTTACTCGATGCGGTCTCGTCCCGTCAAAGGGACGGTCCCGTTGAAATTGATCACCGGCATGTCTGATTGCTACAGAAAC